ATTAAATAAAAAAAATCCCCCCAGAAAAAAAATTTTTTTTCGTTTTATGCGTCGGTTTTAAAATTAAAAATCTCAACAGACAAAAATAATTTTTTTTTTTTTTAAATAATAACAATAATAATAATAATAATGTTTAAGAGTGATAATAATAATAATAAACATCTATTTTTTTATACGGGACAGATTTTAAGGCCTAATTTTTTTTTTTTTTTTTAATACCTTTCTACGACGCATTTACGAATCGGATGTATAAACGCCCGTAGGAGTCACGGATTATAAAATTTAAAAATTATTATTATTATTATTATTATTATTATTATTATTATTATTATTATTATTATTATTATTATTATTAATAATAATGATAAACCACTTTGCTCATCTGGTTACGTTGCAAAATTTTCATTTTGTTTAAATATAACAATAGAATAAATTCAATAAGTGAAATTTAATTTAAATATTAGGTTTAACAACAATAAAAATTGAATAAAAAAAAAAAAAAAACCCGCCCTGGCATATATATTAAAAAGAAAATTTTTATGACGTAATAAAATCAATTTTCCATCGGAAAATTTAAATTTATTTTATTCGATAAATTATTTAAAATTAATATTGTGTCGATTTAACGTAATGAGTATTTATAGAGTTCAAAGTTTATTTTAAAAAATTTCTCAGATTCTTCTCACACCTGCATTAAACCGATATTCGATTATTATTATTATTATTATTACTATTATTATTATTATTATTATTATTATTATTATTATTATTATTATTATTAAAGTTAGTAAGTAAATAATAACGAAATATAGAGATTATGAAACTTGAATATGTATCAATATCGAACACACATAAAACCTTGAATTTAAGGCTTAAATCCTTTGTCAATGACTTCATGAATTTTATTATTATTATTAACAATGTAAACGAGGAAGTTAGAGAAGGAGGAAGGAAATAAATGTTTTTCATTTTTTTTTAAAATAATAATAATAATAATAAAATGAAGTCGTGAAAAAAAAAAAAAAAAAACAGGCGAGGTAAACCGATTCGAATTAAATTTTTTTTTTGCAAGGCGATGTATGTCGGGATGAATTTTTTTTTTTTTTACATGCGGAACAAAAAAAAATTTTTTTTTACTACGTTATAAAATAATTCAAGGTACGAAAGGGGGAAAAAGATTCAAGGGAAACAAGTAAAGAAAGAAAAAAAGAAAAATCCGTTAAAAATTTTCGAAAAGATAATCTCAACCGTCCAATTTTGGTGATTTTCTCTCTCTCGCTTTTAAGTTTAAATTAGGCGTTTTTTTTTTTTAAAAAAAAGAAATTTCATTTTTTATAAACAATTAAATAAAAAAAAAAATTCTCTTACTCATCAAACATAAAAGCTTAATTTAATACATAAAAAAAAAAAAAAAAAAAAAATTTAAACGTATTTTTAAAAATAACAGATTAAATATGGACGCCATAAACGTTTAAGTTAATTGAATGGCGTAAAAATAAATTTATTAAATTTTTTTTTTTTTTTTTTTTTTTATTTAAATAAATCTTTAACGAGTTTGAAATAATGACTTAAAATAAAATAATAATAATAACGAAAGTTTTCTTTTCGTTCGGCCATTTTTTTTTTAAAAAACTCGTTAAAAATTATTTTGGAAAAGAAATTTTATTAAATTAAAATCTTTTAATCTTAATTTGACAAAAACACTCAACGACAAAAAAAATTATTAACTTATTAATAAGTTAATTAAACTATTCTTTCTTATTTATTTTATGTATAAATAAAATAAAATGCAGTCGATAAAAAATTATTAAAAAAACCTTTTCAGTTTTGACAATGGCGACCTGACATGTTTTTTTTTGCATTTATATTTCTATGTGAAAGACAACTGTTTGATTTTCCATATGTCGTTTGTGAATCATTGTGGAAATTGATACAAACAAACAGCTGAAAATGTTAGAACAAACAACAAATAATTGACTTTTTAGTTGATTCAGACGTCCTGCGCCATTTTAATAAAATAACGTTTGTTCTTTTTTATTTATAATTAAAATAAATAAAAATTTATTATTAATCAATAAATAAAAATTTATTATTAATCAATAAATAAAAATTTATTATTAACTTTATCAATAATAATAATTTATATCGTTACGAATAATAATAATAATAATAATTTTTGTTTGTTTGTTTGTTCTTATTAACGAGAAACTATTAAAAAAAAAAAAAAAATTGTCGATAAAACAAACATCAAGTATTTAAAATAATAATGATGAAAACTTTCATATGTATTTTTAAAAACAAATTTCTATTTAAAAAAAAAACAATTTTGATTCTTTGGCTTTTAATCATTTAAAAAAACAACAACCAAAACAACAACAACAACAACAAAAATTTTAAATCTCAAAACAGGTAAAAAAAAAAATTTGGGACGTCAAAGGCCGGTTTTTTTTTCAGGTACAAAAAAGTTTTTTACAACTAAATTAACTGTAAATGTTTTTACATTCTTTAGTGAATAATCAATAAATTATTAATAATAAAATTATTATTATTATTATTTGTATTTTTATTAAACAATATGGATTCTTTGTTTTTAAAGAAAATTATGTGAGATTTAAAATTAAATATTTCAGAGAAAAATAAAAAAAAAATTCGTACACAATAGTTAATAATAATAATAATAATTTCAAAAGAATGGCCCCATTTTTAAATACAATAATAATAATAATAATAATAAAACAAAATAGTTTTGAATGCGAACATGAATGAATTTTTTTTTTTTTTAAATACAAAAAAAAGCGAAAATGATCATTGTTACCAACTACGAAGACAGGTTTTCCTTATATGGTCATGAAATCAGTTAGGTTTTAGGTATATTCGGTTATCTCCCTCTCATTCTCAAGGTTCAACGTTCATCATACCTATTTCGATAAAATAAAAACTTCCTTTGAATTTAAAAAAAAAAAAAAACATAATTTATGTTTTTGTGAGAGGAAGAATTAGGAAATGTAAAAAAAAAAATGTTTTACATAATTTTTGGGCTGTTTTTGTTTTTCCTTTCGTGTACCTTAACGTGTGCCTTAATCGACGTAGAAACTTATGGATTATATATATTTATTTATTTACATAGTAATATAATAACAAAAAATTCCTTCTTGTACGTTTTAGAACAAAATATTCGAATGTAAAAAAAAAATTTTACGGATTTTTACACGCGAACGAAAATTTAAAAATGGCGGCCGAAAAAAAGTAGAAATTTTTATTATTTAAAAATAAAACTTTTAAATATTTAAAAAAAGAATTCGGCGTAAAAATTTTGTATAAAATAAAATAAAATAATTTAATGGTTTTTTAATTTCACTCGCGATTTTGACCATCCAAATAAATAAAATTAATTAATAAATTAATTAATTAATTTTTCCCTTGAGAAAACTCATTTAATTAACATAAAAAAAAATTTTTTTTAAATATAATAATAATAATAATATAATTATGTGCTCCAAATCGGTGAGAAATTATTCTTAAAAAAAAAAAAATTTTTTTGTTTTTTTTTTACACTTCAACTATTAAACAAAATAATAATAATAATAATGAAATTTTTTTAAATAAAAATAAATAAATAAATAATAATAATATTAATAAATGAAACAAGTGAAAATATTTTATATATTATTTACTAATTGAAAATTTTTCTTTTCGATACAAAAGTAAATAAATAAATAAATAATAATAATAATAAAATCAAGTTTTCATCATTAAATTTCTCGCATTTAATTTAATATAACGTGAATTTTTTCAAAAAAAAAAAAAAAAAAAAAAATTTTTAAATTAAATTAAAGTGAAATTTAGTTAGTTTACTCTTTTTTTTTTTTTTTTTTTAAATATTAAATTTAAACCTATTAAAATTGTTAAATCATGTAGAGAGAGAGAGAGAGAGAGAGAAAAAAAGTAAAATTTACAAGAAAGTTGTTGTTAAAATAAATGAATTTTAAATTTTTTTATAAAATTAATAAATAAATGAAAATCATCTTATTTTATGTGTGAAAATATTTTTTTTTTTATCTTTACCTTCTTATCACACATTAATTTCTTATCAGAAAAAAATGGAAAATTTTTGTTTTTTCATATTAATGGATAAATTTAATGGTTGTATTAATATATGAAAAGTAAAATTTAATTTTAAATTATTATTATTATTATTATTATTATTAAACTAAAATGGATAAATTAATTTTTTTTCCCTTATAAATTATTTAAAAAAAAAAAAAAATATTAATAATAATGTTAACCTTATTCTGTTGTTAATATTTTTCTTATCAATTTAGGTGAATCAAAATTAAGATCAAGGATTTGCTGTGTGTTGTTGCCTCTAATAAAAAAAAAAATTTCTTTCTTTTGATTTACAAAAAAAAAAAAAAAAAAAAAAAAAATGAACGTTTTATCAAAAAAATAAACGGATATTTTGTGGATTTATTTAAAAAACCACAATTTTTTTTTTTTGGGTTTGTAATTTAAAAAATAAAAATTGTTATTAATTGTTTTCGATTTGATTAAAAAAATATTTTTTCTGAATGTTTACATGGAAATACATATTTCCTTTTTAAAAATTTAAATTTTATATATATAATACACTTATCAATGTCTTTGATAACAACTAACCAATATATTATATATACATCCTTTTAAAAAATTTAAACGATAAAATATATATTTTTTTTTTATAAATTATTAAAAAAAGGTACGACACAATTTAACCATAACTCGCATATGTTAAATAAAAAAACCTGAAAAATAAAAATTAGTTTTTTTAAATAGCTTTCATGTACTGAAAAAAGTCTAGGTTAAATTTTGAAGGAATTCCCTTTTTTTTTTTCTTCTGCTCGTGACGTAACTAAAAGAAACAGTCGGTTTTGATTTAAAAAAAAAAAAAAAAAAAAAAATCATTACTAAAATCATGGAGTATTGAAAAGTGGATGTTAGATAAATTTTTTTTTTTTTTAGAGATGACACTAATACCGCCAACCAGGTATAATATTAACATATTGTTGCCTCCATATGTAATTGGAAAGGTTTTTGAAAAAAAAAAAGAAAATTTTATTTTATTTTATTTTTTTTGATTTTATCTGACCTTACACAGCATCTGTATTATTTAAAATATGCATTGAATGTTCAGTCTCGTGTACAAATTAAATTTTATTCCCATACTTATATATATTCAATTAATTATCGTTTGAATTTAAATGAAAAATTTTATTAATATATATATATTATAATAAAATTAGATGAAAAAATTAATGGTATTTGATTTTTTTTGTTTTAAAAAAAAAAAAAATCTCATTGATTTAAAAATTATAAAACATTTTTTTTTTTTTATACCTTTATTAATTTAAAATTAATGTCAGTATATTTGTTAAAAAAAACAATATTAAGTCTTTAAATTTTAATTAGGGTGTGAATAATTTTAAATATGACAACATTAAGCCCATTTTTTGTTTTTCGAATAATATTAACCTATATATATAATTCATTATTAAATTTTTTAGATTTGAAATATAATTTTTTGACATGTTATAAACTTTAATAATTATTATAAAATAAAAATTACCTTTTACTGACTGTAATGATTTTTATAATATAATGTTATCGAATTGTAGCATGAAATGCTATCGTAATGCATATAAATTTGACGAATTAAATTTATTCGAAAATGATAAAGTATTTGTTTTATTTTAGAAAAAGAACTAGAAGCTGTGAAGAAGAAGATTTTCTTCCACTTAGTAAAAAAATAAATAATTTACACATAAACAATTGGGGGAATGTAGATCCAGCTCAAGAACATATTCTTGAATGGAACAATTCATCGGAACGACTAATTAATTTTTACACTGAAGGTTTATCTAATGGAAGACATGAAGATGAATCGACAAGTACTTCTTGTTCATATAAAAGTGCTCAAGAAAATATACAAAATAATTACATAAAGACTGATTTAATAAGAGAATGTAAAGAAGTAAATAATGAATCTTTTAAAAATAGTGATTATTTGCCAGAAAATAATGGTAATGGTGAAAGTAGTAGTAGTAGTAGAGGTCAAAATAATTGGTCACCAGTTTACAATCCTGATTTGGGAGTTAATGAAAATCCTTATTATTATGAAAGTAATAAATTACTTTTCGGATTGTATATTGAAAGATTACAAAGAACTGGTTTTTAATGATTGTCAGAAAGAGAGAAGAGACTGCAGGATTGTAATATTTATATGAAACAACAAAATGAAAAAATTTCTGCTTTTTTTTTTTTTTTTTAAAAAAAAGTAAGATAATAATGATTATATGGTATTAATTGCTACTGCATTTCTTAGACGTTTCAGATCTGTTCGATTATACATACATATATTATATATTTTTAACATGATACACGAGAGAAAAAAAAAAAAACAATTTTTTTTTAAAGGATATTGCATATTTTTAGCTATAAGTGATAAATTAAAAAGTAATTATTAATTCTTGCTAGGTAATAATATTTTTAATAAAATTTTTCAATTGATATTAAAAATGAATTAACTAATTTTTTATTTTATTGTATGATTAAAATTGTTTTTTTTTTTTTTTTTTTTTCCCATTTATTTTGTCGGGTATTGTAGTTCAAAAAATATTATTTTCAAAAATTTTAGGTATTTAAAATTATTTTTATACAATTTTTTGCTTTCCATTTTTTTTGCTTAATGAAAATAAGCTTTATTAAAAAATTTATGTATTGTATGAAAAATTTATTTGTATTGCCCTTAAATAAATATTTTCAAAAAATTTAATTTATTTATTAATAGTTTCAGGTTATATTTATATAATTTTGTATTTAACTTTACCAAAAGTTATTTTATTCGCTTTGAAAAAATATAACATTTAAAAATAATTTTATCGTTTTTATTAATTAAACTAATGATTCACCATTTTCGAGAACTCAATGGATAAAAGTAATTATATAAGTTATTTCCGACAAATGTTAAAAATTATTATTTTTTTTTTTTTCAACTTAAAAAATGTGCTAAATTTTTCAAAAATTGTAATAACAGCTCTCTGAATTTAAAATGTGAATTTTAAAGAGTAATTTTTTCTCCAATAATTTTAATTATGTACATTATTTTGTAAAATCAAAACGATTTCAAGTTTCGAATTTTATAATTATTGATTTTTTTTTGTGCGATTGTAGTTTGTGTTTTATTCTAATTAAAAAAAATTATGAAATTTAATTATATTTTTCTACTTGTGAATTATATTCTAATAAATAATAATAAATTATTTTATTATTTTCATAGTATTTTATTATTTAAATAATTATTTTGTATTTTTAATAGTTTTCAAATTGCTTTTTGAAATAATAAACAACAAATGGAATATTCCAAAAAAATAAATTTTGTAATTTATCAAATTTACAAATAATTATATTTATTTAATTTAATCCTACCCTTAAAAAATGTTTTAACTCAATAGATGGGCTTTTTAAACTTTATTTTTTTGCCTGAAAATAATTATAAGACAATAAATAAAAATTTAAAATAAAACCCAATAATTATTGAATATATATTTAAATTAAGTCATTTTATAAAGGCGCCAAAATTTACCCGTTTAACTATTTACAATAAATTTGAATTATTTAATACAAAAAAATTAAATTTATTCATTTAGTTTAACGTGATTTTGTAATGTTGAAATTTTAGTCATTTTCGATTGTGAAATGAATTTTTTAAAATATATTCGTTTTATTTTTTTCTTTTATTTAAATAAAATTTTTTTTAATTTTTTTTAATAAAAGCACCCAATAATTTTTTTTTTAAAGTTTAATAATAAAATCGATAAGTCGATATAATCTGCGCAAATATTTTTAGCATGTAATGTAACATAAGCCAATATCGAAATATCGGAAGTGAATTCGATATATCGAAAAAAATATCCATTCTCCATACTGTTTTGCTAAGTCTCGAAGAAAACAACGCAGAAGGACAGGTGTTTTGATTTTTTTATTTTATTTTTATAGGATTTGGCAACAGTTAGAGACAAATTCATTTGTTTATGGGGTGGGTGTAATAAATAATATTAAATAAAATAATTCAATTTTTTTATTCGAAATCGGTTTGTGAATGATACACAAAGAAAGCTAAAAAAATAACGGTACATTCGTACACTTCGTATTTCAATGTTAAGCCTACCATCTTGATTTGTGACCTTATTTTAAGGCTCCATGAAGGGTCAGTAAACTCTGGCCACAAAACTCTGGAATAAAAAAATTTTTTTGTCATCAAGAAATTAATTATTATCAAAAAAAAAAAAAAAATATGTGCGCTTTTCGGACGAAGCTAAAAAGTGATTGAGCTTTATGATGAAAGTTAGGTTACAGCGTGTCATTCAAGATATACCATTAGTTGAGCTAGTGGCGAGTACACAACTGAAGAATTTTATCCAGGTAAGTAGGTCTTTCTTATATCCTGGTTCAGTCAAAGATCATAGAATTAAAACTACTTTCCACTCCACTTGGTTAATAAGAAGGAGTATGTTGTATTTCTCTTAGTGGTTGAAAGTGGGGCTCCACATCAAGTTTTCATTTAATTCTATGTTGTGGCATTATTTTGGTAGTGAGGGAAATCTTTTAATTTTTTGGGATGGGTAATGTCTTTTTGGGATAAAATCAAGGTAGGGATTTGTTTTTATTTTTGGCCTACTATTTATTTTCTTTTTAATTTACAAAATATAAATTTTTTTGTTAAATTGATTACAAATTTTTAATTTTTTTTTTTTTTTTGTTTTCAAAGTGTCATTTTTTTTTAATAATAACCCATATTTTATTTTAATAAGTATATTGTGTAATGAATAATTTTCCTATTGTTGTTTCTAATGTCAAAAATCATAAAATTATTCACAACTATCAATAGATTATAATTTCAGTATAAAATTTAAATTCATATGTTACTTAAATTTAGAAAGTTCCATTCACAGTCAACAATTGTTTCAATGATTATTCTCCATTTTGAATTTCTTATATAATTAAACATACAAAAAAATTTATCGAAAAAAAGAAAATTTTTTAAATTTTAAAAAAGTTTTCGACAAATATTTTTGAATATTCTTTTAAATTATTATTTACAATTTATGTTTTTGTGATTGCATGACATTTGTCCTAAATATTACCAACAATCTATTTTCTTGACAGTTATTTTTACTATTCGATTTTATATGAAATTTTGTGAACTTAAAAAAGAAAAAAATGTTTGAAATGAAGTTTTCTTATTAATTTTATACCAACCATTATTTAAATTATATGATAAAAGTTTATTTTATAATTTATTTACGATATGAGAAAGAGAAATCGAGTTAATTTCTTTTAGTTATGTGTGTTGCATACAAAACGATTTCAAGTTGCTTTCTTTTTGATTTTTGAATTTTGTTTGGGTATTTTTACACTATGATCTTTAAATCAGATTATTGCCTACTTATTGATGGTTTAATAATTTACTATCATTTTACTAAATTTCTCTATGTTTTCTGTTTTAAATAAAGCAATAAAATTAATGTTAGTAAGACACCACAAAAAAAAAAAATTTTCAGTTTTCTTCGATTATATTTCATGGCACATCATATGTTTACATTAATGTATTAATTTATTATATTTTTTCATTATCATTACCATTATTAATTTTTATTTAATTAATTTATTTATTTCAGTTATTCAAAAGATGAAATAAACATATTATTAATAGTCGAAAAGGCTATGGATAAAATATTATTATTATTAATAAGATCTTGAGAGGACTACAGTAAAGGTAAAATATACAAAATACAAAATTAATTTTAAATTTTTATTATTAATGCCTTTTATAATTGAGTATGTAAAATGTTTTTTTTTTAGGTCATTATGAATTTTTCACCTTTTGGGACTTTTTCCCAGACAATTCCAGGCGCAGGAATGCATCATTTTACCACTGCCAAATTTGCTCAAAATATTGCCCCTGGTGGGCAAGTACTAGGAGTCATAAGCAGTGGAGAAGGTGGAGTTCATTATCTTAGGCCAGTGGATAATGGGTTCAATAACCAGTCTGGGCCACAATTGATTACTCTTCCCATCACGGTATCTGGAAAACCAGATTCCGATCAAACACCACAAACTATACAAATCCAAGTGGTTAATCCAAACGCTCCTACGATAAGTCCCAATACAAGTAATAGCAATGCTCCTAAATATGTTATGCCTATTCAAATACAAGGATTTCCACAAGGTGCTGCAACAGTTTTGACATTGGCTTACAATCAAGCTCTTCCCGGGGAACCGCTTCAACTTCAATTGCAGCCACAAATCGAAATGGCCAATAATGAAAATGAAGGAGAAACGAATAATAATAACAATAATAACAATAACAATAATTTGAACAGTAACAGCAGTATCAACAACAACAACAACAACAACAATGGTAGCTGTACCAATAATAGTAATAGTAATAATAATTCGGTTCAAACCGATCAAAATTTATCGTTAGAAGAGAAATCTCAAGAGAATAATGTGGGTACATATCCGATAGCAATGGTCGCTAATCAAATGGTGATAAAAACCGAATCAGATGTTGACACAAAGTCGACGCAGACGAATGCGGAAAAGTGTAAGGATTCTAAAACTAATGTGAACGAAGATGATGACGTGACTGGTGAAAATGAGGAATTTTTGAGTTCCACATTGACGACAATGCCTAGTTCGTGGCAAAGTTTAGCCACCCCTGGTTCTGCCGTGGCAGATTACTTATCGAAAATTCCAAACTCTTTACCACTTACGTTGCAACACTTTTTAAGGTTTTCTGCGGAAACAATTAAGCGAGAACAGGGTATTGAATCAAGCCCATTGCCTTGTGAATATAACGAATCGTATCAGAATGGAGTCGAAGAACAAATTGGTTTAGAAATCGATTTTAACGGTAAAACAAAGAAAAAGAAAAGACCCGTTAAGAAAAAACCTCCGAGACCTAAAAAACCGCGTCCGGGTCAAGTGCACATAGCCACCGCTCTGGACGGTACGACATTATTTTGTTGTCCACAATGTCACATGGCATATCCGGAAAAAGAATCACTCGAACAGCATTTAGTGGGACATAAAATAGAACGTAGATTTATTTGTGACATTTGCGGTGCAGGATTAAAACGTAAAGAACATTTAGAGCGTCACAAATTGGGTCACAATCCCGAACGTCCTTTCGTTTGTCAAGTGTGCGAAAAAGGGTTCAAAAGAAAAGAACATTTGAATCTGCATTCAGTAATACATTCGGGTGAGAAGACGGAAATTTGCAGTGAGTGCGGAAAAGGATTTTACAGGAAAGATCATTTGAGAAAGCATGCAAAGAGTCACATTACTAAAAAGATTAAGGAAGCAGCCCAGGCTCAAGCTCAAACGATATTAGAAGCTCAGGCTCAGGCTCAAGCTCAGTTGGGAGGACAACACACGCACTTTTCCATACCCATACCAAATATGCCGGGAGTGAGTGTCATACCTCTCAACAGGGGAGTTTTGGGAGGGGAAGAGGAGGGAACGAGCGCCGTCGTATCGATAAAAACGGAAATAGAAGACGAAGAATTACCGAATCTTTCCATGCAAGAACCTCAACCTCAAGTGACGATAACGGCCTCGACGACGACGACGAGTTCTCAAAACAGTGATACCAACGGTATGAGACATAACAACTCAAGAGTGAAATAAGAAAACGAAGATGCGAAGGCGCATAGCTTTACTATATTGTTTTTACGTTATTATTATTATTATTATTAATATAATTATTGAAAAATAAAGAAATAAAATTTTTATATTTATATAATAAAATTTATGTACTAATAATAATAGTGATTTAAAAAAAAAAAAAAAAAATTTTAATAATAACTTAGTGTCTTTTCAAAAAATAAAAACAAATTTAATATGTATATATATATATAAAAAAACTCTTGTAAAAAGCAATTTGTTGCTTTTTTTTTATAAACGTAAATAAGTGATTGTACATATAAGTTAAAAAGAGATAGAGAGAGAGAGAGAAAAGTAAAAATAATTAAAAATTCAATCACAAAAAAAAATGTCGGCAAATATTAATAATAATAATAAAATTAATTATACTTTTGCCTTATGGCTTTTTTTTGTGGTATAAAAAAATCGTCCAACAAAACCCTTGATACATTCATTTTATTATTATTATTATTATTATAAGTATTTTTTATTATTATTGTTACATTTAAGAAGACAAAGATAGAAAGAAAAAGAAAAAAAAAGAAATTTTTTTTTTTAAATTAATTTTTTTTTGTTGTTATTATTATTATTATTTTTATCATTATTATTCTTTTTATCATTATTATTATTATTATTAATTATTATTATTAATCTGTAAATTTTTATTTTTTTATTTTGATTAAAAGTTGACCTATTTTTTTTTTTTTTTTTTTAACGTAATGTAATACTAAAAAAAAAAAAAATTTTTTTATAATAATTAAATAAGTTGTATATTATATATATATATATATATTTTTTTTTTTTTTCTACTGCTTTAAAACCAAAGAAATTTTTAATAATTAATTGTAACAAACTATTAAAAAAACAGAAAATAATTTATTATTATTATTATTATTATTATTACTAATTAATTTCGATGAAAAAAATTCTCGGGAGAAGAAAAAAATACTCGGGTCGAAACAAAAACGAACAATTAAATATATTGACAAATGAATTTGGTGCCTTTTAAATAATAATAATAATAATATGTACATACACGTAAATATTTTTAAATAAATTAATAAAAAAAAAAAAAGGTTCGAGATTGAATATTTATTAATAATAATAATAATAATAAATTAATTTAAGGTTTCCACGAGAATTTTGGCACAATTTCATTTTTTTTTCCTTTTTTAATCAAATTTTAAATGATTAGATCTTTTTATTATTATTATTATTATTATTATTATTATTATTATTATTATTATTATTATTATTATTATTAATTATTATTATTATTATTATTATTATTACATGCATTTCTTTTATTTTTTTTTTTTTTTAACGTGTGATAAAGTTTTAAGGTGCCTAGAAATAATAAAAGATTTTGTTGGACGACCTATATACCTGTAAATTTTTTTTCTTTAAATTAGATTTACCAATAATAATAATAATAATAATAATTAAATTAGTACTAATTGAACATAAAAACAAAAAAAACTAAAAAAATAAATTTAATTTGTAACAATTTTTTTTTTTTATATTTAATTATTAATTTGGTTTGTTTTGTACATAATAATAATAATAATTTTTTTTTGTAATTATTTCTTATTGGTTTTTGAAGCATTTACATAAATTTCTCTCTTTATTTGTCATTATCATTGTCATTATTATTATTATTATTACTACTACCACTACCGTCATTTTTTTATTTATTTATTATTTTATTTATTCTCCCTCGCACGCGACCCCCAAAGAGCGGAAAAAAAGCATAAATAAAATTAATTAATTAATAACTTTTTATTTATTTATTTTATTTTTTTATTTTTATTTATTGTTATGTAAAAACGATTTATAAATATATGCCTAGTATGCCTAATTTTTTTTTTTTAAACATTTTTTATATTGGATAATATCAAGTAAACCAACCTTACGTAATTAAAAAAAGAGGATAATAATAATGATAATAATAATAATAATAATAATAATAGTAATAATAATTTTTGACAAATTATCGATCAATTTTTCAATTTTTTTTAATAAATCACTTATAGGATTTTAATTGGTTAACTGGCCCTTTATTATTATTATTATTATTTTTATATACATTTTTTTTATATATATTTTTATTTTAATTAAGAGAGAGAGAGAGAGAGAATTAATGAAAGAGATGAGTTTCTACTGCAGTATTATTTGTTAAAAAAAAAAAAATATTATCAAGACATATAATATAATAAATGTACTGTGATTAAATATAGTCTTTTATCCAATAAAACTTATATGTATAATCATCATTATTTATCCTTATAAAATGACAATGATAATGATATTTAAATACTTAATAATAGTAATGATTTTTTTTTTTTTTTTTTGTTAAACCTTTTTTTCATTGAATGTTGTAAAAATATATATATATATATATATTTCTGGAGGTGGTAGGTTCACCGATTATATATATTATTTTTATTTAAAATTTAATTTTTAAATTTAGTTTTAGTTTTTATTATTATTATCCCTTCTCTGCTTTTTTTTTTACTATTATGCACTCTAATTAATGTTTTTAATTTGTACTTAGGTTTGTGACAATGATTGATTGATCTAAGAGAAACCATTTTGTTATATATATGTAAAGTAAATTTTTTTTTGGCTTTAAAATTAATTTTTTTGATTAATTATTTTGGAGTTGAAGTCAGAAAACAGGTAATTAATGTAATTTTGTTTAGTTATCAAAAAATTAGTGTGGATTATTATTATTATTATTTTCTTTTTTTTTTTTAGTAATGATTGTTTTTATTTTAAAAATTAGAAACAGGGTGTTTTTTCTTTTTCCATTTTTTTTTTTTTTGTATTCTCATTTTCTTGTTTATATATATATATACATATAATTTTATAAATAAATTTTGTTGTAATTTTTGAAAAGGCACTTTATAGTTTAAATAAAATAGACATTTATTAAATTTGTCATCATTTTATGTTTTAAATTTCAAAATTTATCCATTGACAAAAGAGTATATTGTAAAATTACCACAGTCATTTTTTTAAATTCGGATTAATATAAATAATATTATTCAAATTGTTAGTAAAAAACTTACGTTCGATTTGATGAATCCTTAAAAATATTTAAAAGTTTTAAATTGTAAAAAATATTATTTACTTATAATAAAAAAAAACCGTTTTAAAGTAAGTGGCTCTAAGAAATAATTTGACAGAAAAAGGAACCGTTACTGTCGGAAGTGCCAATTTTATACGATAGTGGCGCTGTAATCGATTTTTTTGAAATGAGCAGTTGCGCTGCACACCTGCTGTTTATTATTTTTCTTCTGAAAAAAGACGCGTATTTTATAAAATTAAGTTATGAAGTACAACAATATTATTAATGGTAAGTAATTATATTAATTTAATTTGAATTTATTGAGATTTTTAATTATTAATTTGCCTCGGAATAATGAGATAAATGAGATATAAAAAACGATTGAGCCCTTACCAATATATTTGTGAGATCCATTTTCATCCCCTATTTCGACGTAGGGACGCATTTCCTTTGACACGTAAATTTTACAAAAAAACATCATTTTTAACATTTATTAATGCTTATTCATGTCTGTTGAAAGTTTTGAGGAAGTGGATACGTTTAAAAACCGTTATGGTGACAAAAATAACCGCCAAATATAACCAGTAAATTTAGTGTTTTTATATTTATTATAACATGACGTCACCCGTCGAACCCTATAACTCAATTTCGTACAATTAATTACTTGAACAATGAATTAAAATTTACATAAATATTTTTTTTCAATATAATTTTTAAACGCGCATTCCGTTACTTTATTGATTTTTTTTTTTTTTTTTTTTTTTACTTATTTTAAATTCACTGCTACCATTGATTTATTTTAATTGTTAAAGGGCGTTTGCTGTACATAAATTATGTACAATTAAAAATCAAAATTGTATATGTGTTATTTTATTTCCCATTTGAAAAATGAACAGGGTTTTTTTTTTTTTTTTTTTTTTCTAAATGTATTAATATCAATTTAATAAAGAAATATAATTTTTGTCATTAATAATAATAATAATAATTTATATTAAACATACACATTGTTTATTGTTATATTAATATTCAATTACGCAAAATATGTATGATTTATTTTTAATAATTTCAGGATCGAGATAAATAAATTAATTCGTACATTAATAACGTTAACAAAACATGAATTTTTCACCATTTGGAAGTCATTTTCCAACAACTATACCTACTATACATCAATTTGCAGCCAAATTTACTCATGATAGTACAAATGGAGTGTTAGGTAGCGGAGCTCAAAATTTAAATGATGCTCAAAGATATCATTCCAGTCCAGGTCCTGCACATTTTGGTAATCAGCATCATCCACCATTGGGAATGCCTGTAAATATGGGAAAATATGCAGGTAGAAATGAATCAATTAATACTCAAAGCAGTCAAATGTCAAATCTAAATGCTACTAACAAATATAGTAATCATGTGATAAATCAAAATAATCATCATTACTCCACAAATAATTCTATTCCAGTATCATTGCTTTATAATAATTCACAAAATTTAAATCACCAAAGCAATAGGCCACCAGCTAACTCACCAAATATGCAACAAAGTGACCGCGGAAGTGGCCAGCTTGATAAAAGATATGATTTACAGCCTCAAGATTTGTGTTCAGGTATTCTAAACGATAAAGACATAAAATTTGGAGAAGGTAAAAATTTCAAAAAAGAAGACGACAAAGATTGCAATGAGAGACCTCATTCGAACGAAACCGAATACAACAGCAGCATGGGTCTTCATCATACCCATCACCAAAACCAAATGCCTCCAAGTTGGCAAAGTTTAGCTGCACCCGGATCGACTGTAGCAGATTATTTATCGCATTTACCTGCCAGTACACTTCCTTTAAGTTTGCATCATTTTTTAAAATACTCAGCAGAGAGTATAAAAAAAGAAACGGACAATTTAAGCATGTCAGGTCTTTCCTCTGGTACAATTAATAATCAGAGTTTGAGCGGAAGTCAAGGAAGTTCGAGTTTACTGCCACCGGCGAAAAAGAAAAAAAAGAAGAAGCCCAAAGAAAAAAAGCCCAGGCCGAAACCCGGTGAAATTCGTTTGACTACTGCTTTAGATGGCTCAACCTTATACTGCTGCCCCGAATGTCACATGGCTTACCCTGAAAAAGAAATGCTAGAGCAACATTTGTTAGGTCACACACTGGAGAGAAGATTTGTTTGTGATATATGTGGAGCAGGGTTAAAACGTAAAGATCATCTTACGAGGCATAAGCAAAGTCATAATCCCGAAAGACCGTTCGTGTGCTCCGTATGTCTAAAAGCATTTAAAAGAAAAGAACAACTAACATTGCATTTTGTCATACATTCCGGTGAAAAGAGACACGTATGTCCGGAATGTGGAAAAGGTTTTTACAGGAAGGATCACTTAAGAAAGCATACGAGAAGTCACATTGCGAGAAGGGTAAAAGCTGAATTGTCTCAGCACGCACCTCAAGCTCAACAGCATCCCGGTAGCTTAAGCTCCTCTCACCACATACCAGTAGAAACGGCACTGCTTTCCTGAACCATAGCCAATGGGAATACATTGTCTAATCAAAGTATTCCCAGTCTTTTTAATTTAGATATATCTGCTTTTGTTTCAGCAGCAAAAGATGCTTTTTAAAGTGTTTTTTCTTTCATTCGCGGACATTTTTTATAAAGCAAAAATCGCACAAGGCTTTTCTTTTTTTATTAACTTACTAACATTACATTATTATTATTATTTTCTTCTTCTAATATATAGTGATTAAATTTATCTAGCTACATCAATACAAAGTGGTCACACCACCACCATCATCTGTGATGTATAAAAATTTAAATTAGTCATTTAATTTTTATTAGATTTCAATAGATTTGTAATAAAAAACAGAAAAAAAAATGACTAATGTAAATTTTTTTTTTTTTTTTTTTGTACACGTTAAATTTAATCATCTGACAATTTCAAATCCAAGATTTAATTAATTAAAATTGACATGAAATAATTGACAAATTCGATTAGAGCCGATGATTTATTTAATTAATAACTAAAATAAAAGTACAACAACTTCCGGTTTTTCTATTTCAATTAATAAAATCGTTTGTTAAAACAACAAATGGCGACATTTTTTTTTCTTCATACATTTAGCAATAATTTTATTTTTTTTACCTCTCATCAAAGTTTCTTTATCAATATTATTATTATTATTATTATTATTTGTATTGTCAATCACTATGTAATTGATGATCATTATTATTTTATTCTCACACCCTCACATTATTGTAAATATGCATATGAAAAAATAATAATAATAAAAAATGTAAAAAGAATAAATTTTTATGCAATAATTAATTATAGTTAATACCAAAGTAATTAAAAATAAAAATTAAGCGTGAAAAACTAAATTAAAATTAAATTTAAATTTAAATTTAAATTTAAAAAAAAAAAACATAAAACATAAAAACAAAAAAAAACAAAAAATTATAATTAATAAATTAATAAATTAATTTTAAAAATTTATATTTTTTGTAAAATTTTGTGAATGAAAAAAAAAAAAAGAAAAATTTTATGATTTTTTTGGATAAAAAAACAAATAATAATAATAATAATGATAATGATAATGATAATTTTAAAAATAAATAAATAAGTAAATAAATAAATAATTAAAGTACAATAAAATATTAACTTAGTTACGCTAATGATTTGTAATGATTAATTATGTACATATATTTTACTTACATTATGTATGGAATGTTACATACATAATGTACATATACATACTTATAATTATCCCCGTGTTTGAATCATTATTATCATTATTATTCTTATTATTTATTTATTGATATGTATATATACGTACATATATATATATATTTTTTATTTTATAAAAAAAGTTATTTAATAACGATTAATAATAATAATAATAATAATTAATAATAATAATAATGATATTTAATAAATAGTTTTAAAAATAATAATAATAATATTAATAATAATAATGCTAATTTATAATAATAAGAATACTAATAATAATAATAATTAATTATGTAATATTGATAAAATGTACAAAAAATGGTGTGAATTTTTTTATTATATATATATATATAATTGTAAGGAATCGTCGCGACGATGATAATGATGATGATGATAATGATAATGATAATGATAACTAAACGATAAAAATAATTAATAAAATTAATTTTTTAATTTTAATTTATAAAAAAAAAAAAATCAAATCAATTCATTGATTATGATATTATTACTATTATTATATTTAGAAGTAGTAGTCGTAGATGCAGCATCATCAGCAAAAGCAGAAGAAAAAAAGCAGTATTTTTTATTAATAATAATAATAATTTTATTTTTTATAATCACGTGACACTATATTGTATATTTTTTTGGATGAAAACTAAGGAAAGGTTTTTTTTTTTTAATTTTTTGTTTTCTTTCTTTTCGCATTCTCTATGATTTTAATTAATTGATTAATTAATTAATTAACTAATTATTTATTTATTTATTAGTTACCACAATATAAAAAATAATTTGATAAATAAAAAAATAAATAAAATAAAAAAAAGAGTAAACGAATCGTTTGAATTGATTTGATTTTTTTAGTTTCAAAAAAAATATGTACATACACACACATTTATTTATTTATTTTTAAATTTGCAAAAGTGGGAGGTAGGGATCGGGTTAGTTAGAAAAAAACTTTTTGTCTCTTGTATTTAAAATGGGAAAGGGTTTTTTTTTTTTAAAAGGGGGGGGGGAAGAGGAGGAAATTTTTTTTTATTCAAATCCACAAATATAAACAAACTCACACGTATACAATAATTAATATAAATTTATTTATTTTTTATGAATGAATGGAACCGATAATAATAATAATAATAATAATAATAATAATTCGTCCATTTTTCTTTTTTTTTAAAAATAAAATTAAACGAATCGATAATTGCAATTAACTAGAAAACACAAAGAAAAGGAAAAAAAAGGTCATTTCAAACATGGCCGAACGTTTTCTACCCTTTTTTATTGGTTAAAATAAAAAAAATTAATTAATTATTATTGATTAATTTGAACCCGAGTAGCCTATTCACACATACACGCCCCCACCCTCCCCTCCTCTCCCCCGGAGGGGAAGGGAGATACCTGTCATTTAAAAATAATAATTTTAATTATGATTTATTATTATTATTAATAATTTGTAACAAATAATTTTAACAGTGTTTGTAAAATATCATTCATTTACTCATTAATACATACAATTTATATAAACAAATAATTATTAATACATAAGTTCATTTTTTTTATTAATTAATTAATTAATTTATTTATGTATCATTGTCATTAATTAAATCATTTAATTTTTACGTATTAATAATAATAATTTTAATGATTTTTAACTTTTTTATTTATTTATTATTATTATTATTATTATTATTATTAATGGGAAAAAAAATATTAGATAGTTAATAGGTTAGTTAATAAGTTAATAAATTAATAAAAAAAACAATTTAGAGGCTGTTCCTACACCAAAGCTTCTATGACGATTAATAATAAATAATTTTTATTTATTTATTTATTTTATCACAATTTTTTTTTTTTCAAATTGCTCTTATTTTAGTATCATTAATAGAAATAAATATTATTATTATTAATAACACATAAATAATAATAATAACGATGATGATGATGATGATAAAATGAATAAATAAATAAAAAAAAAAAAGTTATTTTGAGGCTTTTTCTTGCCTTCGTGCAATAATAAATAAAATGAAATAAAATAAAAAAAGATGTAATTAATTAATTAATTAATTAATGTTTGTTTGATTGTTTGTTCGTTTGTTGGTTTGTTTG